CCCGTGTTTTTATTAACTACAATGTAAGTCGTTCGCGAGCCAATAAATTTCGTTTGCATTGTAAATTGTCAACAAAAATTAGCCCTTGGAACACTCATCCTGTGGAACATCGCATAAATTTTGCCTGCTCCGCAGGCTCCTCTATGTAGATCAAATTTAACTGTATAGATCAAATTTAAATATATAGATCAGCGCGTGCACTGCAAGCCCGATAAAGGCGCACGCCCGCAACTAAGGACGACATTTTTCGTTATTAACTATTCTAATTATTCGTTTTCCTCTTAATTATTCGGGGTTTTTTCGTTTTTCCTGATTAAGTATTTTCGTTTTTTTCTAATTAATTATTTGATAGCAAGCGACTGGGGACGAGGCAGGCATAAATTTGTTTTCCCCATGTTCAAGTCAGATATTACGAAGCATTAATAATTAAAGCTTGGAAAACAGCTCAGCCAATAGAATTCGTCCTTCTTAGAGCTGCAGGTTAGCTCATAGCAGTTCCCACTGACAGGTGGCTCTAAGATGTGCCACCTGAGTGAGCTATTGGTCAAAGGCGGCAAGTACCAGCCTTACACAAAAGCTGAAAACAGCACTACTAAGATCAAAATTCAAAACAAACTAAGTTCATTACTATTGCTGTTTTAACCCACAAGTTCGTTTCTATTAATAAATCCTACTGTTTCCTCCTTTACTATATTTCGACTATGCAAAGTTAAAAATCATGCACCCCCCATCTGAGTCAAAGATTTCATGTAGAAAACTGTGGAAAAGAGACTTCCAGAGTCAACTTTTAAGGCCAACCATACCTCTCATACATGTTACAGTAGATATAGTAGCTGCTGCGTGATCATTGGATCACCGTTCTGCATAACCTGCTATATTATTGACTTTCAAGCTGTTTTAAAAATATGAAAGTAAAACCAACCTTGATCGTTGAGCCAGGCTTGTCCATCAGTCATATTGTCTAAAAAATCAGTGAATGTCATCTTAATTATTCTTTTCATATTTCCCTTTAGTTTCTGAATGGTGAATAACAGTTTTACCATGCATTCGTAATAGGTGTCAAGTTTTAGCGTTACAATATAAAGCCAACATAGTAGGATGAATATTATTGCCTTCCTATCTGCATATAATTTGGAAGTTAGCCGTTGGCGAGCAATTGAAAATAATTTTCACATTGCGGAACAATAGCTACTCGCATATTGTCACATGGAACGTTATAAACCTGGGCATAATATTTACACTCAGTCTTTCTGATCAATCTGATGTCTGGCAATGATCATATTACTAACAACAAATTTCGCACGAATAGTGATTCAAAAGAAGGATTTTACGCGCAAACACCATAATCAATGCTGTACAGTTAAATAGCACCTAGCGTTTACATTTTTTAATAGATTGGGTCACAGTGCGGTGAACATATACTGAAAATCTGCAGAATATAGTGCCGGTACATATGACACACCGGAGGCGTTTCAAAAAACGCGGCGCGATTTTTGAATTTTCAAAGTAAATGAAACCGCTAACGAAAGGAACGTTTAAAATATATATACCAAATGACTCAATATGTTAGAGCGCAATATTTGAAAAACTTAAATCCGGATCAAAGTTTCATATATGTCAATGAGAATCGAAAAATAGCGCCGCTTTGCCGAATTGCGTCGTCTGTCTGCTCGCGGCACAATATATATGCCCATCGTAGAACATACCTTTAAAACTTTCACAGTAGTCGGCAAAGTCAACTTTGATCAACCACTCTCGAACGTCTTTCTTTAACATCTTCAATAAATAAATTCTTGTTGTGTTCAACAAAAATTAGATGACTCGAGCGCCTTTGCAGTGAACACATTGACTGACCGTGGACCGACAGATTGACAGAATATAGGATGCAATTTGACTATGCCGCGTTTACAGCCCGCATGGATTTCTCCGTCGATGATTGGTTAATGGCTGGAATGACGTTAGTTATACTATAATTAGGAAGTTTGTAACAAAGACCCACATCCTGTATAACACTTCTCGCTAGACGATTTATGAAAAGGGTAAAGTGTGACAGGACGTGAGTGTATTGCTAGAGGATTAACACGAAAAGAGCAAAATATTTTGCTAGATTTAAAACCTGAATCAGTCTAAACGATTATAATATTATCTATTAAGAATTAATTAAAGTAAATAATAAAATGGTATTATTCAACTTTCTGTTGCAGGACTTGGGTTAAGTCAAGATTTTTGGCAGTGGCTATTCTGAAGGTTGTGTCATTATTACTAGTCAACCTTTGGTAAAATAAGTAAAGTTTTACTTGCGATGGGAAACATTATATTTCCAGCCCCTTGGCATCCACCAAGATTTGATAATGCAAATAAACTGTTCGTTGTTTTGCGCTATGGATTAGATTGCTTACACTAAACTGTTAATATTTGCTTAACTTGAAAGTTGCACAAAATAATGCAGATTTCTGTAACTGTATAGCTACTGATATGAGATAATATGAAAATTGGTTTTGTTAATCAAAATGTATTAAATGGTATATAGTTTCACACTTAGTTTGTTTACAAGATTTGTCATAAATTATCGGTATTATATTAAGAATTTGAGTTGGTGAAATTTACTCAACCGGGCTTGACTACTTAAAGTGCTTATGTCACAAAAACTTTTTTTTATATTTGGTAGAGGACAAAAAGTTAGTTAATAGGTTCTTTAACATTTTTCGGTTTTCTATTTTTATTCGCGAGATACGAGGCTCTAAACAGCGATTTTCGTAAAATTGTCGCGTATCAACAAGAGTCTGGGACGAGCGTGGTGTGACGTAGCTTAAGGGACTTAATTTCGACGCGCATTCTATTACGTCATTAGCTATAGTCGTTACGTAGTTGTACGAGAGACAGTACCGCGCATGAGTTAACCAGTTGTACTGTTCATGTGAACCAGTGAGCACCCGCAATTTATCGTTCCGTTGGAACTTGGAATTCATCTTCTCAAGACGACGCCTATCTTTTCTGGATAAAAAGAGCTAAGTCGTTATCTTTTGTACTTTCTTTATCTTTATATTCGTATTATCTGTAGTAATAGCATGTCAGACACTGAACAAAATTTAGATGCTGGTGCGGTAGCGCCCTCACCAGACAATGCAATGTTATTCAACATGTTTTCCGAACTACAAAAAAGTATGGTAGAAACCACACAATTTTTAAGTGAACTACGCGCTGAACGCGCGTCAAAGACAGTCGATTCAGAAGAATCGCAAACGCCAGTCCCAGAGGAGGACACCACGCCAGCTTCAGAGGAAGCAAATACCGATACGCCAGCTTCAGAAGAAGTTCATACGCCAGCTTCAGAGGAAGCTAGTCCATCTGACCAAAGGGTCGTAAATGATGATACATTAAGCATTCTTGGCGGCGATGATTTTGACGATAATGAGGACCTTTTAGATGAAATTGATGAATCGTTACGGCCGTCAGACTCTATAGGCCCACCGATACATGAAAAAATCGCAAAAATTGTAAACGATAAGCTAGTTTTCATCAGATCTCGGACTAGAGAAACGTAAGGAGATATTTGAAAAATATAAAACACCTGAAAATTGTCCAAAGCTTTTTGTACCAAAGGTTAATGAACCTATTTGGACGAGCCTCAAAGCTTTTCACCGACAGCGTGACTTACGCACAGCAGTCTTACAAGACTCTATTGTTCGAGTATCAAGCGCACTTTCTGTTACTGTTGACGAGCTACTAAAATGTAGAGAAAACAAGACATTGCCTGATTATCGTACTGTTGCCTCACGTCTTTTTGATTCAATTGCGCTTTTGGGCCATGTTAATACGGAATTATCCTATAAAAGACGGGATTCACTACGCCCATTACTCAGTAACGAATTAAAGCCTGCTTGTCACCGATCGAACAAACCCGAGAAATTTCTTTTTGGTGACGATCTGAGCAAATCAGTCAATGAGGCTAAATTGCATGGGAAATTCTTGCTGCGTGATTCATTCCCGCGCCAACGGTTTATGCCTTATCCAAACCAAAAAAGGCAACATTTTTTACCAAAAAGGGGGAGGGGTCAATTTCCTCCCCAGCAAACATTCCGTCCGTTCCGAAGCCAACAACAGAAGAGTCATTTCCGTCAATAAATAATCAGGTAATTGGTTTTCCGACATACTTTACCTCAAAAATCTTGCCAAATTTAAAAAGACTGATTGATCTATTTTGTGGCGGCCAAATTAAATATTTTATTTCACAGTGGGAAGCTTTGACTTCTGACAAAAGTATACTACAGACTGTCAAAGGTGAAGTCATTGAGTTTATCGGAGACCCTCCAACATGTTCTATTTATCCAACAAACTCGATTTCAAAAGATCATGAAATTAAAATAGACGAAGAGATTTCTAAACTCTTGGCTAAAAACGTCATTGTCAAAACTTCCCACGAACCAGGCGAGTTCATTTCGCCAATCTTTTCCGTTCCCAAGAAAGATGATAAGGTTCGACTTATCTTAAATCTCAAAAAATTTAATGAACATGTCAAATCATACCATTTTAAAATGGATTCCATTAACACCGCCTTATCACTTATGACAAAGGAATGTTGGCTCGCATCCCTCGATCTCAAGGATGCGTATTATACTGTTGGTATACATAAGGACTATCAAAAGTTCTTAAAATTCCTTTATAAAGGAAAACTTTTCAAATATACTGTTTATCCAAATGGTTTATCAACATGTCCACGAAACTTTACAAAACTACTTAAACCAGTCTTATGTACCTTACGAAAAAATGGTCATATACTTGTAATATTTATTGATGATATTTTGATCATATCCACCTCATATGAGGGCTGTATTACATCAATTATTGAGGCTGTCAATCTCCTCACTAACTTAGGCTTTGTCCTTCATGTTGAGAAGTCAATGTTTTTCCCTCAGCAGAAGATTGTGTTTTTGGGTTTTGAGCTCAATTCCGCAACCATGAAAATTAAGCTAACTAATGAGAAAATCACAAAAATAATGTCTCGTATTTCATGTATACTAAATTCAGACAGGTACACAATTCGGGAGGTAGCCCAAATTATTGGGTTACTTGTTTCCAGTTTCCCAGCCGTTCGATACGGAGAATGTCACTATCGAGCCATTGAACAAAATAAGATTGAGGCATTAAAAATAGCAAAGGGAAACTTTGATACATATATGCAATTGTCAACTCGTTCAATTGAAGAACTGAATTGGTGGTTAGTGAATTTACCAAATTCTTATAACTTGATCCATCCCACTCCCGTAGATGTCAGTGCTAATTCAGACGCATCTCTCACGGGTTGGGGAGGTGTGCTGGATAACTGTTCTACGGGAGGGTCTTGGACTGCAGTCGAAGCACAACAACATATAAATTATTTGGAATTGCTCGCTGCGTTTTTCACTTTGAAAAGTTTTATAAACCACCTACGAAATAAGCATGTAAAAATCATGATTGATAACACAACGGCAGTGTCGGTAATTAATAATAAAGGCACAAATCACAGTGAGCGATGCAATGAGGTGACACATGAGATTTGGGCCTTATGTGAAAAGCATGGAATTTGGCTCACCGCCGCATACATTCCCGGTAAACTGAATATTCTTGCCGATAAAGAATCCAGAAACAAAAACCTTGACACTGAATGGATGCTTAATAAAAAAATATTTGACTGAAGCTCTATCCAAACTATGTTTTTCACCTAATATTGATCTGTTTGCCTCTCGATTAAACAAACAATTTGATACATACGTATCCTATAAACCAGACCCATATGCTAAGCATATCGATGCCTTTACTATTTCCTGGGCATATGAAAAATTTTATTGTTTCCCTCCTTTCAGTTGCATCCTGAGAGCACTCAGGAAAATAATTCAAGACAAAGCCACGGGCATTCTTGTGGTCCCCGACTGGCCAACACAGAGCTGGTATCCCCTCCTACTTCAATTTCTAGTGAAGCCTCCACATCGTCTATTGCCCAAAGCCGACCTCTTAGTCTTACCATCAGACCGGGACCACAAACATCCTCTCCACAAGAACTTGAACATTCTTATTTGTCATGTATCAGGAATAAACTGCAAATGAGGGGTTTCGCCACCGATACAATTGACATTATTCTCAGTTCTTGGCGAGAGGGAACTAAGACGCAATATCAGTCAACTGCAAAGAAATGGTTTGATTTTTGTCAGAAAAACAACTGTGATATCATTTCACCACCTTTGCCTCAGGCATTGTCATTTCTGTCCGACTTATTCAAATCTGGTTTGTCGTACAGTTCTATTAATACTGCTAGAAGTGTTCTTTCTTCAATTTTGTCCTGGGAGAGCAATCCTACTCCCTTCGGCCAACTGCCCATCGTTAAACGTTTTATGAAAGGTGTATATGAGTCCCGACCGTCTCTGCCAAGGTATTGCTCCACATGGAATGTCAATACTGTCTTCAATTATTTAAGACGTCAGCAAGCACCATCATTATTATCCATGAAAGACCTCAGTCAAAGAGTTGCTTTTCTCTTAGCCCTTCTCAGCGGACAGAGATGCCAAACAATCGGTAAACTATCAATAGACAATATGACAATGGAAGAGACAAAAATCACTTTTTTAATAGCAGATAAATTAAAACATTCTAGGCCTGGTGTTCATCAACAGCCACTAGTTTTTATGGCGTATGTCGCTGATCAAAAATTGTGTATCCTAACATATTTACAGGAATATTTAAAACGAACATCACCCGTTCGTGGTGACAACAAGCAGCTTCTTATTAGTTTCGTGAAACCTTACAAACCCATCTCAACGGAAACAATCTCGCACTGGATAAAAAACTTCATGACAACTGCTGGTGTTGATACTACACAATATAAGAGTCATAGTACTAGAGCAGCATCAACATCTCATTTAGCATCCCAACAATTTGACCTTAAAGATATCTTGAATGCAGCTGGATGGTCAAAAGAAGAGACTTTCAAACGTTTTTACCATTTCAAAGATAACAATGAATTTAACTTTGGTAGTGCTATTATGAATACACTATCCTAAAACAATTGCATGGTCTATTTGTATAATCATTTTATTATGTGATATTTCCTTATACTGTACATTGTGTTTTCTCTTTCTTGCTGTTTATTCTTCGGATATAATATTGGTGCAATGCCAGCTCTAAATTCTCGTACAACTACGTAACGACTATAGCTAATGACGTAATAGAATTGGAAATTAAACGAGACTTACCTGTAAGTCGAAGTTTGATTGTAATTCTATAAGTCATTAGCGAGGAGTGGAGGAGTTGTAGGCCCACCCGTGAAATTACACCCAGGCCCGATTACCTCCTCCACTCCAGGCATTGTACCAATATTAATGCTCTAAATACTGGTTAACTCATGCGCGGTACTGTCTCTCCTACAACTCCTCCACTCCTCGCTAATGACTTATAGAATTACAATCAAACTTCGACTTACAGGTAAGTCTCGTTTAATTTCCAATTATACATTTGATATATTTTCCAGCATGTCAGACAGTAGGTCGGATTCGGAAAGCACTCATAGTTCTCAATGTGACTCAGAATACAGTTATATTCCTGGATATATTATAGAGGATGAATGAAATGATACTAGTCACAAAATCGGAACTCTAGAAGCAGTTGATAGCGAAATTTTAGGCGATTATAATGCATGCCTTTATGCCGATGAACCGCTAGCAGGCGAAGAATGGTACGCACGATAACTAAAAAAATCAGCAGAACACAAGCAACAAAACTAGATGCTACAGCGAAGATTAGATGGCCTTGAAGATATTAAATTATGGGGAGTGTAAACAAAGATTTATTTTAACATTTTAACGTAAAATAAGTATATCTGACTAATATATTTTGCGGGATACTTTATATTTTGCGGGATGCAGAACTTCCCCACATTTACAAGATTCCATCTCCGGACAGCACCAAGCTTCGTATGTATATTGTATATGTAATATGTATTATCACACAATCGCTGCATTTACACTTGCGAAATATGATACAGGTGAGGAAAGTGATATGACTGATGCCGTATCAAAAATATATCAGCCAGAGATACTTATTTTACGTTAAAATGTTAAATAAATCTATGTTTACACTCACCATGATTTAATATCTTTAAGGCCGTCTAATCTTCGTTCTAGCATCTCGTTTTGTTCCTTGTGTTGCGCATAGTTTTAGATGTTGCGCGTAACATTCTTGGCTTGCTAGCGGCTCCACTGGCATAAAGGCAATATGCATCATAATCGCCTAAAATTTCGCTATCAACTGCTTCTAGAGTTCCAATTTCGTGACTGGTATCATTTGATTCATCCTGTATATATACCCAGGAATATAATTGTATTCTGAGTCACATTGAGAACCATGAGTGCTGGAAAATATATGTTTTCCCAATAGCTTTTTAGTACTCCTTCACATGTGAATTCGAACTTCCGTCCCTTAAGCTACGTCACACGGCTCTCGCTCCAGACCCTTTTCCGTTTTTTTCTCGGGCGCGACAATTTTTCGCTAAAAGCCAATTTTTCAAGGTTTAGAACCTCATATCTCGCGAATGAAAAGAGAAAAACGAAAAATGTTAAAGAACCTATTAACTAACTTTTTGTCCTCTACCAAATATCAAAAAAAGTTTTTGTGACATAAGCACTTTAATATAAGTAGAGTAAATGTTGTCATTTACCGGCAGTGCTGAGTAAATTATACTGCCGGATCTTCTTGAGTAAAGCTGTTGTTTACTCTTTACTCAAAATTTGAGTACATACTTCATGCATGTACTCAAAAAAGAGTAAAGATGTGTATTTACTCAAAATATTGAGTTGGTGACATTTACTCAACCCTTGAGTAAAGTAAATTTTGTCATTTACTCAGTGCTGAGTAAATTATACTCATCTTCTTGAGTAAACTGTCGTTTACTCTTACTCAAAATTTGAGTAAATTCTTCATTTACTCAAAAGTGAGTAAAAATGTGCGTTTACTCAAAATATTGAGTTGGTGACATTTACTCAACGCTTGAGTAAAGTGAATTTTATCATTTACTCATTGTTGAGTAAATTATACTCATCTTCTCGAGTAAAGCTGTTCTTTACTCTTACTCACGATTTTGAGTAAATTCTTCATTTACTCAAAATTGAGTAAAAATGTGTATTTACTCAAAATATTGAGTTGGTGACATTTACTCAACCCTTGAGTAAAGTACATTTTGTCATTTACTCAGTGTTGAGTAATTTATACTCTTCTCTTTGAGTAGCAGTTACTCAAAGAATTTTACTCAAAATTCGGAGTTGTTGTTTACTCACGTTTATGAGTAAAGAGTGCAATATACTCAAATTATTGAGTAATTGGTGCAATTACTCAAAAAGTACTTAATAATTACGACGTAATAGCCTTAGTGCTCGTCAGAAATTAAATAATTTCTAGTTGTTAGCTGAAACAATGAATTCGTACAGGATTTTGCACTTCTTCTTCATTGCGTTTTTGATGATAAATATATGTGTTGCAGAGAAAAAATGTGGGCAGAACAGGCCATCGTTCTTGAAATTCCTGAGGTTACCTGATGCGTGTTCAGCCAAGGTTATTTTGGCAAAAACCTTGGCAGTTTTTCCCGAAATAGCCTTGGCTGCACACGCATATGGTTCGAAGGTAAGATTTCAGATATCTGCATGCAGGATGCTGGGGCTAATTGACTGCTACATAATGCATTGAATTGCGGCTGCGGAATGTTGACCCGAATCACAAATCGTGCAACTGGATAAATACTACATTTAATTGTTCCAATAGTTTTGCCTTGGAGAAAAACAATTTCTCATGTTGGTCCAAAGATAGAACTATTGTGAAAAATAATATATTTCAGGCCAGGTGGACGAAGAAAAGTGCAATCGCTAGTATCAGTGTGAGATATATTTATTTATTAAGAAATTCCTATTGCAAACCATTAAATTTCAGTAGTCATTGATATTGGACCACATCAGGAATGCTCACACTTTGAAACACCAACCTTACCTTCGAACTGGCACTTCTCGCCATTTAATTACTTTAGCGAAAACTGACAGTTCAAAGGAAAGATTCCAGATATTATATTTGTACCGAAGTGGACGCATTCCCAATATTTCCTTCAGTGATGTATCATGAATGGTTTTCCAATGAATGGATCACTCTTGAAGATTAGCAGCTATCATTAAGGTTTACCTTCTGTCTCGACGGATGATTAACACGAGAAAGAGGTACGTGATTTACACGAGAAAGAGGTCCATGAAAATATCAGGCATATTTACATTGCGGTTATACATATAGTTCTTTTTGTTTGTGGAAGCACCACCTAAATTTATTACTGGACAGCTTTCGATCCGTAATCCCGGATTTTTATCAGTGCTAATAATATGTGACTTTTTCGTTGGATAATTCCAGCTTTTGACGAATTTTTTATCCAGACAAGGACCAAAGCTATCATTTTATCTTAAAAGAACATCCTTAAATTATGATTGTGCCGCTACTCCGAGTGTGCATCCACACCGAGTGTTGATACACCACTCGCAGTAACACCACAAACTTCATGTAGTCACCTGTGCACATAACACCAACAAACACACAATGTATCCTTAAATTAGTAAAATTGCCAATTTTTTCGTTGCAATATGTTGTAAAACGCGGAAAATACAGCCCTGTAGACCTACATGTAAAATTAGCAAATTTTGCGTTTTTTAGCTATGTAGTGTAAATCGGCCTTTTGGAAATGAAATTGTCGTAGAAGATTTCTACATCTCTGGAATCAAAATTTATTTGCGTAAACATTCTAGGAATACTCAGATGTTTTCGCGACAATTTTTCGTTGTCCGCACAACGCGTTCCAAGCCAGTGAGAAAATAATGACGTAATTTCTTAAAAGTGGACCGGGGCGAGGGATAGTTAATTACGGCGTCATCACCTCAGTGCTCGTCACTAATTAAATCTTTTCTTGTTGTTCGCTGAAACAATGAATTCGTACAGCATTTTGCACCTCCTCTTCATTGCGTTTTTGACGAAGAATAGATGAGCTGCAGAGAAAAAATGTGGACAGGACGGGCCATCGTTGTTGAAACTCCTGAGGTTACCTGATGCGTGTGCAGCCAAGGTTATTTTGGGAAACACTTGGCAGTTTTTGCCGACATAGCCTTGACTGCACACGCATATGGTTCAAAGGTATCTGCATCATAGATTATACATCATACCAGATGTCTCACTCAGCCAAAATTGTGTCCTCGATTTTTATGAGCACGAGTTGGCCGCCATTTTGGCAGTAAGTGTAATCCACGCCATGAAACGTGAGCAATCACGCATTTTGGCAGTAAGCGCCATTTTGGCAGTAAGTGTCGCACGCGTCATCTGGCGTGATAGCCTCGCGAAAATCGCGGACACGAAAATCATAGGGATAGATACACAGTGAGACATCTGGTATAATTTATAATCTATGTCTGCATGCAGGATGCTGGGGCTAATTGACTGCTAAATAATGGATTGAATTGCGCCTGCGGAATGTTGACCCGAATCACAAATCGTGCAACTGGATAAATACTACATTTAAATAATTTCTTATGTTACCAGGGGTGGCGCTACAGGGGGGTGTGGGCCCCCCCCCCCCCACTCGTCAGCTAATCGGCAAATTGTTGTCTCAGTCGGCAAAACTGGATTGGCTAAAGATAACCACTGAAGAAACCAAAATTGACCTCCTGAATAATTGAATTCAAACCGAATATCACGAATAGCATGCGTCAAAGAAACCACACATGCAGCAATGCAATTTTTTTACGGTGTAAGGTTTAAAAACTGACGGGTATTGTGTATTGTGTATATACGTTAGATGTTTGAAGATCAAATTTCGCGAGTCTGGAGTTAAAATTTGGCTCCAACTTTCGAATTTTCCGGCTGGAGGTAACGTTCCAGTTATATTCCGATTTCAATGATTCGTAAATGCGTGATTAATAGTGCTCCAAGATGTGGAACAGATTTTAAGAAATGCCGAGATTTTGACTTTTCGAGGGCTGCAAAATGGACGCCGACAGGAATTTTGGGTTTTCTGATTATGCGTGTCTCAGAATGATGCAAATGCCATTTCCGGGGTTCAAATTTAAAAATTTTCCGTGCCTTCGGCACGAGCCTCCCCCCCCCAATATTTCATAAAGTGTCCGCCACTTGCACACACGGTGGCTTAAAAGGTCTTAAAACTGTTTATTCTACCGATAAATAAAGGGTTTTTTATTGACTGGGATTTCAATAACTCGGACTGGGATTTCTAATAAAAATCCAACTGGGACTGGGATTTTGCCAAAATTTCAGGTGGAAAATTGGATTGGGACCCCCTCCATTCAGGACCCTCACTATAGGCTAATGACTCGGCAAAATTACCAAACAACAGTCGGCAAAAGATCACTCACACCCCCCCCCCCACTCGAAGAGGGTTAGCGCCGCCCCTGTATGTTACGCTGGCCCAAAGATAGAACTATTGTGAAAAAAGTTATATTTCAGACCAGGTCGACGAAGAAAAATGCAGTCGCTGGTATCAGTGTTAGTAACATTTTGTGAGTTTCTTCATACCTGAAAGTTAACAAATGGAGAAGCTTATATGAAGGTTTGTTGACGATGTTATTGAACTTTCGATAAGACATGTGCTCGCGCGTCCTTAGGAAAATGTGGAAAGATTAAAATGAGAATGTCTGGGTAAGATAATTGTCAGCACGTCTATGCGCGCGTTCGATGATGGAACACATGAGATCAGTACTTCAAGACCGACCTAATGGAGATACAACAAAAATTGGTAACTATGTCCGATCATCCTTCCTGTGGTTCAATATCATTGATAACCAACCGCAAGAAGGACGCTCAGAGCCTCAGACATTGAACCACATTACCCCAACAAGAATGCTTGAACATTGAACCACAACGGGCGTGTACATCAATTAAAGAGTGCTTAGATAATAAACAATAGCAAGAATGGTCGGAAATTAAATCACCGTAAGAATTCTCCAATGTTAACCCACAACAAGAATAGATCGGAAGAGCATTGAACCGCCGTAAGAAATGCTCAGACATTGAGTCACAGTAAGAATGGTCGGACATTCAAACACGGACATTGAATCTGTTCATAAACCACGGCAAGAATGGTCGGACATTGAACCACAGCAATCTTATCTTTGGATTGGCAGTTCTTGCCACTTTCTTTGCGAAAACTGACAACCAGTTCAAAGGTAAGATTTTTAGAACTTCGTCAGCTGGTTTATGTTAAAAAATAAGGATATACTCAGCGAAATAGAACTATATGATCTCTGCAAAAGCGACTATCCAATTACTGCAATCTAAGACTGGCGCATTATTGGAACTCTCCAAATTGGCCCTATGATACTCACTAAGCTTGGTCGATCCCAGAGTAAGCCTGTCCACAGTATACTTCAGAATAACAAAACTGCAGATCATGTCATCTAGAGTCAAACCGAACTGTAAATGGGATATAAACTAAAGGAGCCAATTAATTGTGCTAAAGTTGATAACGATCTACTACTCAGTAACGCTTACTGAATTCAATCAATATAAGGGTTAATACATAAGTGGAAATTGCCCAAGAGGAACTAGATGGAAATGTGAACAAAAGCACCAAATTTTGCTTTAACAAAAGAACTAAATGAAAATACCAACAGCATTTTGGTTGAAAGTCTGGCAGGACTGGGCTTTGACGAGAGAATATGATGTTGACATTGAGAAGTATCCAATTCTGTCATGCTAATAAAAAACAATGATGATTACATGTGTCGCAGAGAAGTTCCTGCAGCCTAAGATTTGCGCGTTATCTACTGGAACTCGCCAAACTGGCACTATATACTCTAAGCTTGGTCGCCTGCCAAGAATGTCATCTCGAGCCAAACCCTTTAGTTTTCGTAGCTGAAAATTGGATATAATTGTACTGAATTAGTTGATAACGCTCAGGAACATATAGAATAGACAGTATAGATAATAAAAAATAGATAATATAATAAAAGCATATAGATTTACATTTGATTTTTATATATATTGATATTAAGGTGGTTTTTTGTTCATTTTTGCCATATATATATATATATATATATATATATATATATATATATATATATATATATATATATATATATATATATATATATATATATATATATATATATATATACACATACGCACACACCCACATGTACGGTTTATAAAACGTTCGAAATATAGTGTTAATTATGACTACGACGTGTGTAGTCATTTAAGGGGTTTAATGATAAGGTCCGGTAAGGAAGACAATGAAGGCAGCTGTTGTCATGAGCTTTGGACCGCTAGTTTTTTCGATATATAGTATTGTTAAACTACCGTACTACGGTTTTTGATCGACATGAAGAGTTTCCTAAGGTTTATTGTACAGATCATATGGGAAAATAAGATCTCTCCATCACTGTTGAGCGATGCATGTGGGCAAACAGTTATTATCGGACTTGGCCGACTTGGAAAAGTCTCCCTGTTGAAGCATGGAGAATTTCCAGATGGTCAAAACATGACCAAACTACACTACTGGTGGCGGACATGATCCTCCTATTGACATTACCATGTATCTGGACATATCTATTAATCCTGGCCCACAATTGTCGAATACGATCGAAACTATAATCACAAACAGAACAGAATCTACGCCAAGAAATTGATTTCGCCATTATTCAAATTTAGTGCAAATTCCTCTGGCTGCACCGGCTATTGTTAGCACTGTTACACTTAGAAACAATTTAAAGGTCCTGAATTTGTTGACTATATTTGTGATTCGGAAATCGATATTGCCGTTATTACTGAAAGTTGGCTGAAATCTGCTGATGCTGCTGCTAAAATGGCTGCCACACCAACTGGATATCGCCTGTTTAACCACCTCGCCCAGATAGAATTGGTGGTGGCACTGGCATCTTAGCGCAGGACTCACTTGCGGGTATTTTCAACTCTTTCGAGTATTCAGAGTATATTATTGTTTCTGGCTTATCTCGCGTACGCCTTGTTGTAATCTATAGGCCTCCTTACTCGTTCAATCACCCAACTACTGTGAATATGTTTATCACTGAATTCGCTGACTTTCTGGAAACTGTTGTCATGACGATCGAGCCGCTCCTGATAGCCGGTGATTTTAATATCCATGTCAACAAGCAGTTGGATAACGATTGTGGTAGTTTTCTCGATCTCCTTTCATCAATGGGCTTACAGCAACACATTAATTTCCCCACGCATACTTCTGGTAACACTTTAGATCTGCTGGTAACTCAAACTTTGGATTCTGATATCATAAAGGAAATTCAACCTGATACCTATTTTTCTGACCATTGTTCCATATTATTCTCCATAAACATCTCCACACCGCAACTGTGAAGGAAGAAGGTAACTTTTAGGAAAACGAAAGCTATTAATAATACAACTACATTCGTGGCGGATCTGTCTGCCACTAAATTGTGCTAGACAAGCTAGTAGATTGCTATAATACCACACTAGCAGATTTGTTGGATCACCATGCTCCTCTCAAAACCAAGACTGTTACGGTTAGACCTCAACTGCCTTGGTATTCGGAGGAAGTTGTCTAGCGAAGAGAGAGCGTCGACGAGCTGAAAGGAAATTGAGGTCTTCTGGGACTGCTGCTGACTCTGAGTCATTCAAGAGAAAAAAAATCGTGTAACTCATTTACTAAGAGTAGCTAAATCGGCATTTCTCACTGACTTCATTGATCAGAATGCGGACAATCAAGGCAAATTATTTCGAGCTGTGAAAGACCTTTTGGTTGAGAAGAACACGCTATGTTTATCTGACTATACGGATACGACGGCACTGGTAAACGAGTTAGGGATGTATTTTGTGCAGAAAGTTATTCGGATTCGAGATGAGCTCGATTTGGGTATCGCGATTACGAACGATGTCCCGGATTATAGTGGCACTATACCTGACCCACCGGCTCCATCTGTTTTTGAATCATTTGCGTTGCTGACTGAGGACGACGTGCGCATGCTCATTGCCAACCCTAAATCCACATCCTGCTGTCTTGATCCTGTCCCCACGCCTCTACTAAAACAATGTATCGAGTCTCTTATACCAGTGATCACTAAAATAATTAACACCTCATTGGAATCAGGAGTTTTCCCTGAGGACTGGAAAGTGGCCGTAGTCAAACCATTGTTAAAGAAACTGGGCCTTCACCCGCTCTTTATGAACTTGCGTCCTGTTAGTAATTTAGCTTATATCGCTAAGCTCATTGAGCGTGCTGTATTTAATCAGATTTATGACCACTTGGTTCAGTCAGGTCTTTATCCTCTGCTGCAATCAGCTTATCGTCAGTACCATAGCACAGAGACAGCGCTACTCAAGGTTGCTAACGATATTCTTATGAATATGAACTCGCAACGCGTTACGTTACTTGTCCTTTTGGATTTAAGCGCTGCGTTCGAAACAGTGGATCATGAGATTTTGTATTCGGGGAAAGGCTCTAAGAGTGGTTTTCTTCATATTTGTCAGGGCGTAGCCAGCGCATCGGTTTGACAGAGTTACATCAGACAGCTGTGATGTGCGCTTCGGGGTCCCACAAGGGAGTTGCCTTGGTCCGCTTCTCTTTGTTATGTACGCTTCAAAGCTTTTTGAGATTGTTCAAGCACACCTCCCTGATAGTGCCCATGGTTTTGCCGATGATACGCAATTATACATGTCATTCAATCCTAATAATCCCGCACATCAAACGGAAGCGGTGTCTGCCATGTATTAATGACTTGAGGAAATGGATGTATCAGGACAAGCTAAAGTTAAATGACGATAAAACTGAATTTCTTATCATCGGATCTAGACAACAGATTTTGAAAGTTAACCCTTGTACGATTCGCGTTGGCAATACCGAGATCAAGCCAGTTTCGGAAGCGCCTAATCTGGGATCTTTAAGATTTTACTTTTAACTTTGAAAGCTCTTAACGACTTAGCGCCAGATTATATTAGGGAACTTATTAAGATAAGGAAACGTGAACGTTTCTCGCTCCGTTCCAATTCGGGTATTATCATCTTACATCCAGTGGGGAAGATGTTAAAATCATTCGGAGACAGATCTTTTAGTGTGGCTGCGCCAACACTCTGGAATGCACTTTCTGTAAGCCTTCGGAGTATCAGTTCTCTTTCACTTTTTAAATCCTCTCTGAAAACATATCTTTTCAAGCTAGCTTTTAGCCTCCATGAAATGTATATATCATTTAAGATTATTAATAGTTGCATGTATAATAGAGTGTACTGTAATGCGCTTTTGATCGTTGTATGTAAAAAGCGCAATATAAATTATTAAATTTTATTATTATAAATTATTATACAAATTAAAATAATTTGTATAGCAAAAGTATAGACTAAGACTAATTTGTTTTTAAATTATTTTGGGTTACCAGAGATTTCAGGCTGTCTTCTTTTTCTTTTGTGCAGAGAAATAAATAATTAGAAAATAGATTTACTAAAACAGGATCGTCCGATGACATCGTGTGTTGAAGTAATTTTTGTTTAGTTTCTTTATTTATGTTGAGATCAAACATGAAGCGCTGCGTTCGATACAGTAGATCATGAGATTTTACTGTCACGCTTGTCTTCGAGTTTTGGTATTCGGGGAAAGGCTCTAGAGTGGTTTTCTTCATATTTGTCAGGGCGTAGCCAGCGCATCGTGTTTGACGGAGTTACATCAGACAGCTGTGATGTGCGCTTCCGGGATCCCACAAGGGAGTTGCCTTGGTCCGCTTCTCGTTGTTATGTACGCTTCAAAGCTTTTTGAGATTGTTCAAGCACACCTCCCTGATAGTGCCCATGGTTTTGCCGATGATACGCAATTATACCTGTCATTCAATCCTAATAATCCCGCTCATCAAACGGAGATCAAACATATTAATTTTTGAGAATGTTGTTTGAGTTGTCTCGTAAGTGTTGGTAATTTTGGCATGTGACGGCGAAATGAAATCCGTTTTCCACTTCACCAGAATCACATAGTTTACAGATACGTTCTTCTCGAGGAATATTTTGTGTCAATTTGTAACTTATGGTTGCTTATACGATATTAGGAAAATGTTCTTCTAATTATTGTTGGATTTTGAATAAGGGATAAGTATTCTTCCGTACATCATTCTTCGATACTTTTTTTACATCATTTTTCGATACTTTTTCCTTTGGAGGAAAATAACTTCTTATTCTTTTTCAAAGATGAAACTATTGAAAAATTCAATGATATCACTTTTCTCATCTTTTGTCCATTTTTTTAAGCTCAAACCAGATTGATGAGGAAAAGTGGAGTTGTTGGTACCAATGTTCAACCTGGTACCAGCGACAGTACTGTTCTTCTAGACAAGAGATTTTTTATACATTTATTCAATTCGAAATTTACATAGCAGCCAAAAGCTGAACTGTGTGATTTACAAATTTCAAAAGTATTCCAATAACTTAAAATATCTTGCATCATTATAGATGAAAGATCTTGCATCAAAATCATTAGATATGACCAGTTTATCATTATACTAACAGTTAAAAGGGTAAATAGTTCAATACAGAAAAGCTAACGGTATATCCTACATATTGCAGGAAGAAGTGTTTTGTGATATCTAGAATATCTATATCAATAACTGTGCGAAAGATACAAGTTTCGTCAATCTGGAAAGTAAGAAATGGAGAAGCTTATGTGATAGATCGTTAATGATGTTATTGAACAATTTATATTATAACCCATATTCTCACGTTTTTGGGAAAGTGGGAAAGGTTAAAATGGTCAAAAATATTTTCATCATCGAGATAATTGACAGCATTGGTCTTTGCACGCATTCGAGATCTTCGGACAGATCTTCAACTCTCCAGATAAAGTTGCCCTCGACCATAACAGGGTCAAAGACGTGCTTCCAAATTTTAAAATCAGTTCTCACTTCCTTGCATTTATCGGGGTTAATTCAGTTGTAGCTTGTTGATGTTAGACCAATCTTCCACTGCAGTGACGAGTTCTGGTGTTACGTATTCCTTTTTGTACGACCTTGGAAATTGTTGTGTCATTAACGAATATCCACGTGCTTATGTCGGAAATTCGGAAATCATTGTCATAAATACAATTTGCCATAGCCGTCCAAGTTTTGTGCCTTCAGGGATTCCCGAAGGAACTTCTCCCCATTCAGAGTAACAATTAATCGTTAGAATATGGGATTATAGATAACTCGGCGGTTCGCTGTTTACGATCTTCGGTTCAGTGCATGCTATGTAGATGAAAATAGCACCATTCGATTCAGTGAAAAAAATCCTATCGATAGATATAGTAAAATGTCAACATTATAGCGATTTACGACAAGCGATATCATATTTCATTACAATATTCCCGCTGACTAATACTAGGAAAATCGCGATGATTTCCGACGATGACCGGTTTCGATACGAGTGTAGACAGTAGAGACCTTAAGATTGACGTTTACGGCAAACGTCAAACCGCTAGCGAAGTTTTTGATTTTACAACTCTATTATTATAGCTTTTACACCAGTTCTTTATCAATGATTTAAAGAAAGCAAATTAACCACTAGTCATGCCATTCACCAAAGCAGTAAATTAAGATTTGGCGTTTGAAGTTGACGTTTCGCGTATAAATTTCATGCTTGAACTGCTACGAGGGCTTGTAGTCGTTAAAGCATGAAATTTATACGCCAAACGTCAACTTCAAACGCCAAATCTTAATTTACTGCTTTGGTGAATGGCATGACTAGTGGTTAATTTGCTTTCTTAAATCATTGATAAAGAGCACAAGTTTAATAAGTTTAACATATTTCAAAACTGGTGTGAAAGCTATAATAATAGAGTTGTAAAATCAAAAACTTCGCTAGCGGTTTGACGTTTGCCGTAAACGTCAATCTTAAGGTCTCTAGTGTAACCGGAATGCGTTCCGGTAAAAGTGGAACGCGATCGGAACGCGAATGGAATGCGAATGGAACGCGTTCCAGACGCGTTTTCTGTTAGGTTATTTCTGAGCAGTACTGTACAAATAACAAGTGAGCTATAATTACTGGATTTCATTCGTCTGACAACATGTTAATGAGTCTCTGTCAGAGGCTGATCTATACAAGTTTCTCCTCTATAGTTTCGCCGCCATTCATTTTGGCAACATGTCTTACACCAAAATAGACTATCAGTCATGTTTGTTATGCCGAAGCGAAGTCGGGCATGAATAATTACTTGACTTCATTATTTAACAAAATTACCTGACAGGCTCTACATACCGCTATGTAAATATTTTAGTGTTCATTCACTGTGGAAACAATTGTCGCAGAATTCGCTGGCTTCGTTCAACGAATATTTCAGCACGGCTGGTTCAACACTCACTTTTCGTTTTACAAAGTTTATTTCACACAAATACTATACGTTAATTACAACAATCCGGTCTTTTACTTTACGACCTCTAACCATTCTAACTAAATTAGCGTTCGTCATAACATTTTATAACTTCGGAAAACCGTACCTACATATTTTCATCATGCAATACATACAATAATGTTATTAACATACTTTGGCTTGAATTCAGCTTATCCATAACGAACTTACAATTATCTTTGACATGCATGCGTACACAACTAATTGAAATAAGATTTTAAAAGTGGTATTAGTATAATTTTGCAAGACACAGTTTCAACATATTTACAGCACATATATTATAATAAAATTAAAGTTATAAATCCGACAACAATCCATTTCTAAAGAAATGAATAATGATAATAATTTGAAATTTGCATAGCGGGACTATATATACTGTATTGTCGGGTTCGTTACGCAACTGGTCACCTGTGCAAGACAGCTAGAGCCAAGAACGACGCTCTTTTACAAATCTAAGATTAGGCAAGAATTATATCGGAGAAAAATGTCGCAAGGTCATTTGAGGTAGGGGGTCAATCATTTTACGATGAAAAATTTTTATATGTAAAGGTTGATTGAAATATGGAAATATTTGATGGATTGTACTTGTATTATAAATATTCTGAAGTGCAAGCGTACTTGTATGGGATATCGTAAAATTCTTGTAATCGCATGTAGAATTTAAGTTAGTTGATCGTTCGGTGCATTCTGGCAAAGCAGAACACCTCTTGAACAAAACTTTTTAAATTCTGAACAATATTTCAGTGGAACATATATAATTTCATAATTCAAAATTTAATATAATTTTGTAATAATCACCGGTCTAAAATTAATTTAAGTTAGATTATTTCTGTTTAAACTTTCCTCCCTTGAGATCCAGTATAAACCTCACCGATTAATATATATAGAGATAGAGAAAACGCCACTATAGCTATTTTATTGGGTTACCATTACTGCAGAAGCATAATTTAGAGTAAACTAAGTAATAATTCCACGTTCAGCAATAATGCTGCTGAGCATTTTAGTCAAAAACCTACAAGCATGCCACTGACTCTACGATGGAATATCTAAATACTCTTGGTCATTTTCTGCAGGAAACATATGAAGCATTAAGTAAAATAAGCGTCACAAATTTCAATTATATCAAGAGTAGTTATTGTGACGCCAATTGCTTGGTTACGAATGTATAAAAAAAAACAAAGAGAACATTAACTCGAACACTTTACAGGCAGGCAGCAGGTACAGGCAGGTTGAAAAGGCAATGAAACCATTTTGAACCTCAACTGAATGCGAAAATTATAGGAAAAGGAAGAAAAACGCAGTAAAACTTTATTATATCTATACGTTGTATTTGGACATCACGAATTTCAAATAGGTCACGTCTGCTGGCGACAGCTGTTTCCTAGTCACGTTTTTTACGAAGTTGTTATTAGGGACCTTAAGGCCCATACAGACGGGACTTGATTTGCAATGTTTTTTAAATATTCGGAACCACCTAAGCAATTTTAGCTATTTGGTCTGCATATCTTGTAAAATTTTTATCCGTTGACGGTTTTATTTGTTTTTGAAAACTGAAAATTCGCGTCGCGTTGCCGAATCGCGTCTAGCCTGCGAACAGGCTCTCAAGCTGAATTGAGAGCCTGCATCGATGACTAATGAATTTGAATATCTGCGTCTCAAATCGTGACGCGAAATTCTCATTGGTCAGATCCTATAATTTATACGTTTCCGCTGAGCTCTATATATGTCAACTTAAGCACTATGCATAAAAAACACATTAACTGATCAAATTGGTCTTGGCCATCTTACCTCAAAGCACAAAATGTGCTGTTTTGAGAAAACAGTATTTAAAACGTTTGAACTTTTGCTTGAATATCTTATATTTCGAAAAACAGTATAAACTGTACGGTCTAAATTTAGTTTCCACGGTCTAAATTTAGTTTGCACGAAAGTTGTAAACAACACCATATAAGGACAGACATTCCATATTTGGAAAAACGAACGTTACGGGGCAGATATTCAAATTCATTAGTCATCGATGAAGGCTCTCAATTCAGCTTGAGAGCCTGTTCGCAGGCTAAATCGCGTCCGGCTGTGTGGGCCTTTAAGGCCGGTTTTCCACTTCAACCGTATCGTAAAGTACCGTAGCATTTTCTTTTGTGTCGAAGTCATTAGTTCCACCCTAGTGGTCAGGAAACAAAGAAATACGCTTCGCTACGATACGGTTGAAGTGGAAAACCGGCTTAAGCATGTACGACGGCAACGCGACGACGACAGTCAAAACAAACTCTTCAAATAAATTATTGCGAGGAAGAGTTGTTGTGTATTATCCACTGCATATATACATGAATTGAGTTCAGTTTGAAAAGATTAAAACAAAGGCTTTATGGTTAAAAACGCTTCTGCTGAGCAATTTTGTAGTTTCACTTATCGCGTCTTGACATGCATGTTTGCGTTGTACACAAGACGTGAAAATCTCTGTTTTGCGGTCGTTGTAAAAATCCCTAACTCAACGTCTCGAACTCCCGTGGGCTTTTAATTATTCATTTCTTTTGTACGAGATCAGAAATATCATTATGTGAATAGCCGTCGTCGCCGCGTTGCCGCCCTGTTTGCTTAAAGGTCCCTATTGTGGGTTCGGTCACGAAAAGAAACGGCCTTTGGCCACAGAATAGAGACCTTACAGAAAGCCGACTTCCTGGTTTTTGTTTATGAGTTTCTTATTCGTTGGTGAGCAGATCTCCCAACAGGCTATTGCCCAATTGATATAGGGGATCAGAGGTACCTGCGATTTTAACGTCCTTATGTCCGAGAAGACCCGAAAGTCTAACAATTTACTGATGTCAATGTAAAGCCTGCATGCCGCACACGAGACTAGAAGCTTGCTGGGCGAACCGGTGGCGGCTAGCTCTGCTATATATGCATTTTGACGGCACACGTTGGGAAAACTATACTTAACAACAACATAATTGACATAAAATCGTTTGAATTTTCCTCTATTTTGTTCAAAGTCAGATGAAGAAACTATGGTTTCTCATTGGCTAATTGATTCAAGCAGCTCAGCACTAAGCCAACAACATTTGAATTTATTAATTGACATTCCCTAAAATGGGCTTTTCAATGACAATTTACATGGATTTTAGGAGGAATTATGAGTTATCGACTACAACTATCTTATCAAAGTTATTACGCAAACTAAAATTATACGTACTATATATTATGGTTTATGAGTTTAAAAAGTTACAAAGAAGGACATCGCTTCTCAATAATAATTGTCTTAACTTTCGTCTTAAAATTATTCAAAACACTAATTGATTTCCGCTTTGTATCTAGACCATTCCATATCTTAGTCCCTCAGTATTTGAACGATCTTTGACCGATCGATGATGTCCTATATTTTGGAATATCCAGGTCTCCATTTCTTCTAGTATCTTGGTTATGAATTCTGTTTCATTGTTCAAAATTATCGCATAATACTGTGGAGCTTTGTCATTCATGCATTTAAATGTTAATAACGCATCTCTGTACAATAGATGTTCTTTGATTGACAACCATCCTAACGCGTTTAATGTCGGTGATATATGATCATACTTAGGCACCCCTGTAATTAATCGGGCGGCGCAATTTTGGATTAATTGAATCTTTTTTATGTTGCCATCTGACGTATTTATAGACCATACTGTTGAACAAAGTTAATTTCACTCATGACTAATGTATTGATGATTGTAGCTAGTGTTGACTGATCAAAGTTGTGTTTCACACGACCAATCTGACGCAATTTTGAGATACACGATAAGGACAATGTCAATGCTTGTATATGTTTGTCGTACGTTAGATGGAAATCCAAAAGCATACCCAAATCCTTACCTCTGTCACAGGTGTAAGATTTTCTCTCATAAAATTAATATGGACGGGAGATTCCAATTGATTCATGTGTTGCCGTGTACCAACCAGCAACATTTTGGTCTTTTCTGGGTTTACAGGAAAGCTGTTGTTACAACACCATTCAAAAATTCTGTGTAGATCCTCTTCTATATGCAGTAACGAGTGTTCCATATGCGACAATGAAAACGATAAAAATGTTTTCGAATCGCCAACATACGATTCAAGACTACAACTTACTGTTGGGAACTGAAGACAAGCTATCTGTGTATATATTAAATAAAAACGGCGATAGAACAGAGCCTTGAGGAATTCTGTACGACAATGCAACAGGCGCCGAAGAGGTAGTTCCAATTCTAACATGCATACTCCCATCTGTCAGACAAGTAACTTTTAAACCACTTATCCACTGCAGAAGATACGCCTAGGTTTAGAATTCTTTGAAGAAGCATTGGCACTGCCAACTGTTCAAGTACTGTTGGCCAGAATAATTCGCTAAATACTTACGAAAGCACAAGTATTGTGTTTTAAAAAGCAATGTTAAATGTTTCAAAACTAAAAACTACTTGAAACTTCTGGGAAATCATAAATATAGAAAATATCTTGATTCTAGCGCATTGCCAACAACAAAAGACGACAGGTCACGCACACAGTTGACCATTACGTTTAATGTTTTACGCGTTGTACCTTGCAAGTTTGCTAAACAAATGTGTGATGATGAAAGTTTAGTAAAAACCGGGAATATTCCGTAGTGACCAGGAATATTCCTGCTTTATATATTTCTATACTATTATCAAAAGTCTTATTATTTAAATACTTTCCCATATATTTTCCCGCATCACGGTACTATACTTTCGGTATGCATAATTGAAATCAACATACTTGAGTCATCATTAATTTTTGTCACTGGGCGCTTCTAGCTTTTATATCGATGCTTGTTCTAATATTATATTATTGCAAACGTAGTTCTGTCCCATTAATATTATCGATTTAACGATGTCTTCGCTATGTTGTTTTATCGGAGGAAAAGAAGAATACTTTTGCTGCAGCGAGGAACTAATTCGTCTGACAGAATGTCAAAGTGACATAAAACGTCACCTTCGAACTAACCATCTTTCTTCTGAAACACTAACAAAAGTAGAGTTAATCCTTTTAAGGGCAGGAATAGTCAATCTTCGCCAGGGACAAATAGATGCAATGTGAATCTGTACAAAGCACCGACTCACTCTTGGAAAGCAGTGGAGACCAGCTCGCCTATCCTGTCACTACCATAAACACAATGGCAAGCGAACGGCCCTAAAAACGCGCGATACGATTGGAGTAGACATGTGCAAAAATATACAACAGTTAAACCAAGTCCATGTTTCTGTTGGATCACGTAAGAACTTTCCAAATTAATCCTGTTCTTTAAAAGTTATTTGCAAATTTAAAATTGGTATATTGCACTTGTACAGGATTGTCGCGTAGGTCATTCTAATTAAAGTAAAATTTCTTCCGTGCAAAAATTTCTTGTACATTTTTCATTAGCAGGGAGGGTGAAATATTTTCTCCAGACCCTTCTAAGTGTCGGGTTGGGAACTGTTTGAATTTCAGTTAACTTCAACTAAACCTTCATTCGTCTATTGAGCGATATGTGTTAAATGCATATAAGCGATGAATAAGTAAGAGAATGTGACTGCTCATCCTCCTGATTTTCATATTTATGCTCCATAATACTGTACGTTGAAGTCGATTCTATAAATGGTAATATAATAAAATTGCAACAAACATAGTTCATGGGCCGGTTGTTCAAAGCACAGAATAAAGACATACAGAAGTGTAACTTCCATTACAAAACCGTAAGGCGCTTTTTACCGAAATAGCTGGCGGCCATGTTCTTAGCAAGTGCCCTAAAGAGAGGCATTCACCCCCCTGGGATATTAAATTTTCAATATGTTTTCAGGGGGGTGACTGCCTCTCTTTAGGGCACTTGCTAAGAACATGGCGGACTGAAAAAATCCCTTACGCACTTTTAATAAGAAGATACACTTCTGTATGTCTTTATTCTGTGTTCAAAGCTCGATTAGCACTGACCCAGCATAGGTTAAGTTTTAATCCGCTGTTTTGAGAGTATTTCTGTAAGACCGTTCTTTTCAAAAGTTTAAAAAAAACATCTACTGATCCAAAAAAGATTTCTAGAAAACCTATTTAATTTTATAAACAAGCTGTTGGAAAGTTCTATTTGGACCCAGGGTTAGAACAACCGACTTTTGATGACAACTGGCGCCAGAATATAAAATGAAGCAATGTGTGCGCGTGCGCGTTTCGGGTTGTGTGTAGGGCTGGGAGAAACGTGGTAACTTGATTAGCGCCAGTATCGATTCGATACGATACCGATTACTTTTTCGTAAAAGTATCGAGGTATCGATTACCCAAACGATTACTAGACAGACGATTGTATTTCAGAATTTTCCGCCATTATAATCCACGAAAAAACAAAAAATAATTTATTTCCCGCCTTTTTCATAATTTATTCTGTCGACGAGGTCAGGAATATTAATCAGGGAAGTGGATAAAATGTCAAATAAAGTAAAGGAAGTTTGATTAAATTGATAAATGCAGCAAAATACAAAAAAATACATTAATTTTATTAGAAATAGCCATGAAAACGATGACACAACTACAGGATTATAATGCATGTCTAATTTTAAAAGTAATCGAAACACTTTTTCGATACAGTGCAGTATCGACTACTTCCGATTTGGGCCTGGTATCGGGTCTTGTCTAAAAGTACACACGAGTGACCACGAATGACCACGAGTGACCACGAATGACCACGAGTGACCACGAGTGATTTCTGTGTTTAAAAGTCATAAAATAATAATAAAAAACTATTTTGAGGTGGCTCCATAGGGTTTTTGCATTATACTACACTTTTATATCCAGAAAACTCCTGTTTCTTCACTTTACATGACACGAAGACGAAATTTATTGGACACATTAACAATGCTCTCTTGAACATTGCAATTTACTACTTTTGCGCTGAAAGTCCGTTACCATGGTGACAGTGCGCTTAGGATAATTAAGCTCAAAATTTGTCTTTTTCCGGCCGTTTTAAAAATTGGCATAAAAGATCTTTCTCGTATATTGATTTTTTTCTTCAATTTTAAAAAATTCTATGGAACGTTACTTAGATTATTCCCTTCAATAAAATTTTAAGAAAAAAGGATATTGACAAAAATCGGGTAAAATTCCAGTTAAAATTTTGATATTTTCAGGTGAAAATTTGCGTAATAAAGTAATTATTTGTGTGAAATGATAACCATTTTTGTAAAATATACAGTCAATTTACATCCAATTTGTTTGCGAATTTGCTTTAGATTGTCAACAGTCAAAGTTTACTTTTGGCAGATTATGGTGTAAAAACAGGATATTGTAAGCTAGACTGCTGCGTTTTTCAGTGAAAATGTTCCCAGCTTCACTTCGCTCGAGACAAAAGACACACGTTTTGCAACAAAATGTGAAAATCTATTCGCTTGTATTCAGTATTTTAGCATGTGCTTGGCAGCTGCAGAAAAGTTTTATGGCCGATTATTTGCCGATTATCAAGCAATAATCGGCCGATTACCGATTATTTAAAAAACGGCCGATTAATCGGCTTTGCCGAACTTTGCCGATTATTTACCGATTAATCGGCTCATCCCCACTTTAGAAAACGCCAGAATTGCAGTCCTAGAGCTTCAAAAATGCAACAATTTTCTGGGGGAGGACTCCCAAACCCCGTTTTCTCCCGAAACTTAGTATGACAGTGCAAGTCAATCACAAGAAGCTTTATTATAATTATTACACTTTAGGTAAATATTTATTAAAAATTCAAATTTCAGGTAAAATCCTCCGGCAACACCCCCCCCCCCTGACTTCAGATGCTTTGCTATGTTCCTGTAGACTGACGTGTACAATAGTCGAAAAACTAAAAAAAATTTCCCGAAGTGATTTTTAAAATGGCCAAAAAAAGACAAATTTTGAGCCTTATCCTAAGCACGCTGTTGCCATGGTAACGGACTTTCAGCACAAAAGTAGCACATTGCAATGTTCAGGAGAGCATTGTCAATGTGTCCAATAAATTTCGTCTTCATGTTATGTAAAGTGAAGAAACAGGCGTTTTCTGGATACTATAGTGCAGTATGATGCAAAAAACTTAGGGAGCCACCTTAAAATAGTTTTTATACACAGAAATTACTCGTGGTCACTCGTGGTCATTCGTGGTCACTCGTGGTCATTCGTGGTCACTCGTGGTCATTCGTGGTCACTCGTGTGTACTTTTCGATAAGATCCTGGTATCGGGCGGTATCGATACCAAGTAATCGGTAATCGCCCATCACTATTGATTACACCACTCTCAGTTGTCGTACTAACAAGTCTTACACCTTATATTCTTGAGGATTGGCAGCATAATGAAATATTTTTTAGAACAAAATAAACGCGCAGACGGAAAGAAATTACGATATTATTATTGTTGACTCATTTGAGTCTTACCAATTATTAAACGTGCAGAAAGAAAATCAAGATTTGTAAGGTTGCTGTGGAAATACGGTTTTTAAACCAGAATTGATATGATCATACAAAGCCACAATATAACAGTTCATATTTTTTTGCAAGGTGCAACGCGTAAAACATTAAACGTAATGGTCAACTGTGTGCGTGACCTGTCGTCTTTTGCTGTTGGCAATGCGCTATAGACTCAAGATATTTTCTATATTTAGGATTTCCCAGAAGTTTCAAGTAGTTTTTAGTTTTGAAACTATTGAACATTGCTTTTTAAAACACAATACTTGTGCTTTCTTAAGTATTTAGCGAATTATTCTGGCCAACAGTACTTGAACAATTGGCAGTGCCAATTATTTCCGTTTGCGAATTAAGCCGGATTTGATGGATATTGACAGCATTCTGTGGAAGAAACGCAAACAGATCCGCACGAAATAACATATTATATTATTCAACTAATTATTATATAACACAACTATGGTAGTTAATTGTGGAAATTTCAATCCAGATTCGGGAATATCAAATTCTACTCGACGTGGTGTGTTGGCCGAACAGACAAAGCGGATCAGACGTGGTTACGTTGTGCAAAGTTTTGAATAAATAATACATGAAATCAAAGATGTTAGTATTAATGATAAATTTCAACCACTTCTTGTTAAAAAATATCCAAACGGAATTGAGATTGGAAGTCAGAGTTCCGCGTATGCGGCAACCGAATTTAGTAGGAAATGTCGTGTTTAGACGGCCGCCATTTTGCTTCCGAGATCCCTGGGACTATTGATCGCTATATCTGGATAAAAATAAAATATTTGAGAAAAATAAAACCGATTCAGGTATTTAAAAGCTTAAACCTTCCTGGTCATAAAGTTTTAGGTGGGTTTACTTTTTACGTAAAATATGAGTGGTCGGTTTTTAGGGAGACAGCCTCTTAAAATAATTGTTCTAACTTCATCAGGTGTGACTGTTCTAAATTCAAACAGATCAAAAGAAGATCGGTGTCTTGCAGGTGGTAAAGCAGTTGCTATCTGAATGTTGTTAATTTCCGCAAGTCTCTTGACCTTGTCGGCTGCAATCTTCCCCACAGAAGCAAAATATTCATTAAATTCATTGGCTAATTTTTTGTGGGCGTTCTGGTAAACGGGTTTTTCTGAATCTTTGCTCGGCAGACACCCCCTAATCACTTTCCACATGGTCATAGATCTTGAATTACCTTTATATTCCTCAATTTGATTCCGGACAAAGTTGGACCCTGCTGCTCTTAAAAATGTTTTTATAGAATTCTTAAGCTGCCTATAGACATCCCAATCTTCCGCGTTACGTGAGAGGCGAAAATTTCTCAGCTTTTTGTCTCTCAGTTTCATCGTGCACTTTAATTCTTTACTAATAAACTGGTTAAGTCTGCCTTTAATTCTGATGTGTTTGATAGGCGCGTGTTTGTCCAGAGTATTTATCAACAATTGATTGAAATGATCAATTTTCTCATTTACATCATTAATACATCCGCAGACGTTGAGATTTTTTCCTCACGAGATGAAAAATATCAAACACGATAGGTATTTTCGTCAACTAGGCCTCGAGAGGTCAAATCCTCACAAAAACTATCCGCACACGAGAGAAACGTGCTGAGCTAGCTGCCATGCGAGGCGGTTAGCTCTGCCGAGCAAGTTGGTCTCGTGTGCGGCAGGCTTAAAGGAAGCACTTTCTCGACCTTGACTCCTTGAGTAGGAATGCTACCAGCTTAAAAGGCAAGCGTGGTGAATATCACGCCGCCAAGAGCTGGTTAAACCACAAGAGCTCGTGACAGGCTTTTGCTATACCATGTTCCCAGCCAATGTGCTTACGAGAGGCATTCACTCCCTGAAAATATTCAAAATAAGTGATGTTCAGGGGGTGAATGACTCTCGTAAGCGCACTGGCTACGAGAAACATGGCGAGTGCATTTTGATGACGAATCATTGTGTATCATGGTGTGGCGGTGGTTAGGTTTTTTGGCCGAGTCGGCCTTCTGTAAGGTCTATATTCTGTCCTCTGGGCCCGACGTGCATGTTCGCAGGTCACACTTCAGGGAGTCTTTCCTCGCAGCGATCAAAGGCTTGGCAGGAAATTGATAAAATTTACTTGATATATATTTTGCATGATGACAGAACGAAGAAAATAGTTGTCCCGGACATGTAGCGTTGACACATCAGCGTCAAAAAGCAAATATTATTGCCCCCAGAACGACTTTTTTATGAAGGTCGCTTAGACTTTATTGAATTTACAGTGCATGGTTCGAAGCTCACTTTTACTTCAAGTATTTTAACTCATGAATTATTCATTATCTTAATATTTAGATATTTTAGCGATATTTAGAGTTCGCATGGCAGTATTAACATATGGTATTACGTATAGTTTTAAAATTTTTATGCAGTATATGTTATTAACAGACTCCTTTTTGCTATATTCTAAAATATTGAATGTTTTCAATTCTGTATATTTCACCTTTTAGCTGCCACTCAGATTAACATTTCATTGAATTTAAAATTCATATTAAACTTAACATGTACAGTACAAATAGCAAGTGGCCTATAATTATTGGATATCATTCATCTGACAATTGATTAATGAGTATCTGTCAGAAAGTGACCTATAGTCTATACAAGTTTCTTTTCTCATAGCTTGGCAGCCATCATTTTGGCAACACTCTCTTACACGTTGGCGCTCAACAGTCGACCACAATTGACCATAAAAGCAGTAAAAAACAAAAGGTTTGACGATTCGTATATCGGGGAAACATTCGACACTGGAAACATAGCAGATTGTCTGGAGCACTGTTTAGAGGACTGTCGGTGTCAGTCGTTTCAAATTTGTGGAGGGACAAAATGTCAGCTGTGTTCAAGTCACAAGGAAGAGAACAGTTCATTGCTTCATGACAATAATACATGCATCTATGCTATGTACGAGATGCGAAATGCTCAGGTATGATAACGTTTTTAATATTCGCCATAACTTTTCCATGCAATTTTCCGTCTCACATCGTTACGTCTTAAATTCACTCTTGTTAATGTTTAATTGAAAAGATAGAGCCAACAGTATTACTTTATTTGAATTCCATGCACGGTAATCTTGGTCCTGTCCAGCCTGTGAGCATAGCTCGCTCTTTGCCCAATCCTCGGTGTAAATACAGTTTTGAATTCCACATCATCATTCCAAATCTCCGATCCGAGTTTGCCTCATCGATTTTCCGGCCAGTCAGTGTACATAGAAATCGTTGAATAACCAGCCCTCATTCTACTCTACCAATGCAAGACGATCTCCACTATAGTGACAAGGAACGTCCTTGGGTGTAAAATACAATGTCTTTTATCTTGTTAGATATTCGACGACCACTGTTCAACCATACATTGTCCAAAGAAGCACAATTGTTGTCAACAACAATCTGATCTCTGTCCCGAGAACACAATATGTAAACCATTCAACTCCCCCAAGAAGCCCTGGAAACGTTTTATCTGCGAATGTGGAGCTGGTCATAGCAGTGCCAAGCAACCATCCCGGAGGAGGGGGGGAGGGGGCTGGTGGGGGCGCAGGCGGCGCAGGCGGCGGCGCTGAGGAGGGGGTTCGAACACCTCCCCCACCAATAATTTCCAATTTCCATTTATTCTTGAGCCTCCCTCAACCCCCCCCCCCCCC